TTCAGACCGATCACATTGTTTGGACCGTTTTTCAAAGATTTATCTGTCTCTGCTTCTCTTTGTCTCTGGCTCTGCTGAAATATGTCGCATTTTTATATAAAATGTATTTTTTACTTTTTGGCTCCCGAAAGGTATCGGCGTACGGGATAAAATTATTAAACCGCTCGTAGGAAGAAAAATATTTTAAACGTCTCGCCTATCGGCTCGACGTTTAAAAGATTTGTTCTATCTACTCGCGGTTTAATATATATTATAATATATATTGTCCCGCACCGTAGACAGTGTTTACACTTGGTTCACCTGCAAAGAGAGAAATTATCATGTCGTGTAACTGATTTGTTAAACGTCTATGTAGACGATTAACAGCCTGTTTGTAGACATTTCGTATAGTCTGAAATATGTCGTATCTTTATATTAAATGTATCTTTTACCTTTAAACGCCCGACAGATATCGGGGGTACGGGTAGAATTATTAAACCGCTCGTAGGTAAAGAAAATATGTTAAACGTCTCGCCTAGGCGACTCGATGTATAAAAGATTTGCTCTACCTGCTCGCGGTTGAATATATATTCTCCGATATATGTAGGGTAGACCGGGGCAAGTCGCCCCGCCGAGGTAAAACGCCTCACCGATGTTTCTCGGAACTGGCAAGGATCTGGGGAAATATTCTCTCTTCTATAAAACGTGCACTATATGATCATTATATGACCAGACTGGAAAGAAATTGTGATGACTCCTTAGGGAGATATAGCCAAAAATGTGTTTTTGGAGTGATTTTTATGTTTTGTTGTCAGGTTATGCATCATGGCGTTCTTTTATGGTCCACATCAGGTTAACGACTTTTGTGTATTTTGAACAACTATTATCTAACGCTTATAATGCTGGGTTGGTTCGTGTTAAATTATGTCTTGCTGGAGTGCAAGGCGTTGTTTTCTGACTGAACTACGTGATGGGGTAAAACGCCCCAGTAGGTCGCGAGGCAAAAAGCCCCATGGGGCGTTTTGCCTCATGTGTTGTTCGTACTACCTACTTCCTAATGTTCGGTAGCTGGCAAACAGTAAGTTTCTATGCATTTATGTGTAGTTTTCTCAGCAACCGGATGGCAAAGGAAGTATTTGGTTGACAGTTGCATGGCAATAATTTATTATTTGGCCTTATGAGGCAGGTGAAAAACCTGCTCATACAATAGTGTCATAGCCGAACACCTGATAGGATGGAAGGTGCTAACTTCAGTGCCGTGCCTCCCAAGGTCTAACGGACCTCTCATATAAGATTTGGTCAACTACCATGTTTAATCTTTAATCTAGAGTCTGGGGCTTCTTGCCCCGGGCCGTGGGGCGTTTTGCCCTGGGGTTGGGGCAAAATGCCCCATTTGCAGTTGCTTCACAAATCACTTCATAGCTGGGAGTCCGATCATAAGTGAATGAATTTGAGGGGTGGAATTTAAAGAAAAATGTCCAAAGAACGCATTGAGCACAAATTTGGCCTTCCAGGTGATGTAGGACAAAAGTTATGTAGCAAAATAAATTTTCTGGGGCGTCTTGCCCCAGGCTACCCTATTTGAGGCAATAAAAGGGCATGTGCTCAATGGTTGTTGCGCTTCAAATCCGTTTTTTTTTCTTCTTGGGTTTGTCAGGCTATATCTTGCCAAGTTTCAAACACTTTTTCTTGCGTGTTTTTATTATTCTTAGCTCCAAAGCCGTAGTCGTGATGGTTTTCAACGGTGCTGGATATCCTAAGTCAGCATTGTTCTCCAAAGGATAGCTTAAAGTTATGAGAAGAGACTAAATCGCAAGAAACAATTAAAAACACATTTGTTTCAATGCAGTTGCGAAGCCTCTCGCATGTTATCATTCCGAGGAATGCATAAGAAGACGTCGGCACTCGGCATAGGTATGCCAGAAACATCAGGCATGCCCATCATTAATTTTGACGAGACTCCACAGAAATGTCCATAGGCGGCGGAACGGGGAGGGCACCGGGGCACCGTGCCCCCTTTGATTTTGGCATTTTAACATTAGCCCTATGGGCGTTGCATGGAAAGAATGGGACCAAAAGTAGGCAGTGCCCCCCCCCCCCCCCTTAATTGACGGTGTTCCGCCGCTACTGGAAATGTCATCGTTGTGTTAGATAGGGTGCTAGAATATTATCATCGTAAAGTGGCCATCCCACCTTACAGTTAGTTTTGAGTTGAGATAGCCAGATTGGGGTCCCTGGCTTGCACTTACCGGTTTGGGCACTAACAACATCGAGAAAGGATTTCATTCGGAGATATGGAATTTCAAACTTGCAGTTTTCGGATTCTAAGGGGCTAAGGCATTGGAATGCCCCCTCTAAATTTGTGACGTCAACGCATATCTAGCGATATTAAAATATTATAGTACTAACAATTAACATCTTTGTGAAGCAGTGGTGGTAGGTATATGCTGTTTGCGCGCAACATCTGCCGCACTTTTAAGATACCGCACTTTTAAGCCATGATATGCAGTAGCGGCGGAACACCTTCAATTAAGGGGGGGGGGGCACTGCCGACTTTTGGTCCCATTCTTTCCATGCAACGCCCATTGGGCTAATGTTAAAATGCCAAAACCAAAGGGGGGCACGGTGCCCCGGTGCCCTCCCCGTTCCGCCGCCTATGATTATATGTTAATGACTCGTTTACAGGCTAACCTAGACACCCGCATTCACCACAGCTGTGCAGTGACCCGGTGCGTCGGCCGTCCAGTGAGCGCCGACCACGCCATCTATCGGCCATGCCGTGCGGCTGCAGTTGGAACGGTCGCCGCTGGGTGGCCGGAGCCGAGGCTTCGCTCGGCCTCTCCGGGCTGCCCGTGGTGACCAGCGGCGGCGCGCACTGGCTGCGGCGCCTCCTCTGGGCTCTGATTCTGGTCGTCTCCTTCGTCTGGCTGGTAGTACAGCTGCATGGAAGCGTGATTCGTCTGATGTATCAAAATGTGGGCACTGAGTCCCGGTACGAGCTGATGCAGAGCATGCCATTCCCTGCCATCACCATTTGCGCCGCACATCGCTTCAAGAAGGAGCAGTGGCTGAACATGTCTCTGGACGGCGTAACTGCTGAGCAGTTGGGGGCTCTCAAGGGCGAAGACAAATTCAGATTCTTGCGCTGGGATGAGCTGAACTTTGACGAGTTCTATGACAGTGCGTCGTACAGCTACGATGACCTGGTGGAGTCGTGTAGGTTCCACGGCCAGTCGTGTGCCGTTCTGAGCACTCTGAGCACCGCCTTCACCAACAAGTACGGCGCGTGCCACACCATCACCCTGACCACAAACGCCAACGGAACGTGGACGCAGCCACAGCTGGAGATGCGGCTCACACTGCCTGACCCCGCCGACCCGGAGATGCGCGAGACATCGCCCGGCTGGTACGTCATCCTGCACGACTCTGAGACGGGCTTCTCCGACCTGTCGGCGTTCGCGCCCGCCTCGTACAACGTGCTGTCCGTGCGCAAAGGGCAGGACACGACGGCAAAGATGCGTCGCCAGGAGACGTTCTACCTCTCCCTGACCGGTGGCGGGTGTTCGGACGAGGTCGGCGCTGTCGATCACGCTCAATGCCTCAAGGCCTGCCTGGATGGGCGCCTGAAGCCGTCTGCCGCCCAGAACTCCAGCGAAACAACGCCTCAACAAACGAACAGACAAAACTCCACCGGTAAGAGTCGCAGAGTTAGATCGAGCGACGACGACACACCTCCTCGCAACAGTTCCGCTCCGGCGTGTCGACTCCCGTGGCAGAGACAGGAACAACCTCATGGCCGCCCGTGTGCTACCTTCGAAGAGCTGTCCTCTGCGATAGCAAATTCCGTCAACATTAAGTCACTCGACGAATCGGAGCTCTTCAGTACTGGATACTTTGGGTGTGATTGCAAGCGCTCTTGCTCTGTGGTTACTTACCCAACCGATACCCCGGACCGATTTCCCATCACAATGCCGCAGTTCCTCAAGACATCCACACTCAGTCTCTGGCTATCAATGACCAAGGAGCATCGGGAAGAAAAGTGGAGCTTTTCGTTTTCACAGTTTGTGGCCGAGTGCGGCGGAAACATGGGAATATTCCTCGGTGCCTCTCTGCTGTCGCTTGTTGAGCTGGCCGATATGATCGGGTTTTGGTGTCTGCGTAAGCTGCAACCGAAGAGTCCAGTCCAGAAACGGGTTACACCGAAAGTGCTTGTGAATTTTAAGCATTAGCAGCTCCCGGAGTTTACTTGGTGCATTAATACCGGAGTACCCGTAGCTCCGTTGTCTTGTTAGTCGCTGGCACCTTGGCAACGCACTGCCCGCAGGGTAGCGATATGAAGTTGTTTGAAGTGGCGATTAACTCAACTGTACTGTCCTTCAAACATTCACTAATATCAGGTAGTGCGTGTTGAATGACATCACGTGACCGCAAACCAGCCGTGCAGCTGATGCGACTGACGGTCCGTTACAAAATAATTATGCCATTAAAGATGCACCGAATTCAGCAAATGTCAAGCAGCCAGCCACTTAGCATGATTATGTTTTGATGTGCACATTGTGCAGCTTATGGATCACTCCTGGGGGATTTTCATGTGCGCAATTATAAGACTGGAGCTTCTTGCCACAATATGTAGACGTCATGTGGAAATTAAGCTATGATGTCAATAACTTTCAATAAATGATGAAGAAACCCCAGCGTATCGTCATTATTTAAATATGTGTTGAGTATTTCAAAAATTCGCCCACGGGAGGCGGTTTTTGATTCCCAAGAGATTTTTGCTCGTTTTTTTTTTAATGGAGGGGGTGCCTTTCGGTCTAACGAGACCATCTCATTGCCGGAAGGTCACCCGGAAGGATGATAGGAATTAGGGGCGACATTGGTCTGGACAGACACCCTGGAGCAGGGGTTTGAGGCCTGGAGGAGAAGGATTTGACCGTCTTGGAGGTGGAAATGACGGGACGGTGCCAAGAGATTCCGAATTCCTCGGCTTCTGTGGCAGACTGCACAAACACCCGGCGTGCCACTTTTGAAAAATATGTATTGTTTCGCCCGCGCGGCGAACCTGATGACTATACAAGGCAGCCAGCAGGCGCTGGTGATATGAAAGGCATGATACGTGTTCGGGCATCGACGGGTCACTCACACGACACTCACAAATGCTGCACAAATCGCCCAGTTACACAGAGCCGGCGACCGTGGCGCCGCCCGGCGGCCAGACGGCGAACTAGCCGCCCGGGAGCACACACATACCCGTGTCCATTCGCCACGTATGATAATGCACTCAGCACGGCATACACAAAACACACTGACAGCCCTGCTACATACAGAGCTCATACGTTCTGGCGGTGATACGGTACATGAACCTCATTCGGCTAAAGAACCCTGACGCAAAAATACACTATCAGCGCTCTGCATTGTGGTTTTACAACTGTCCCATGGCGACGTTTTCCCTTTAGATAGTGAAGGGATTCCCCTACAGTAGGAATTTCCCCTTCATAGCAAATCCCCGATGCGATAATCCCGATAAATACAGCATAAACAGAGTACCAATACAGGGTTCGGCGGTGGGTCCAGCAGCGGCACCCAGCGGCGGTTGTCATGACAACAGTTGCCGGCTCGGCTCGGCGTATGCGCACCAGCTTGCTCTCACCACAGCCTGGAAGCGGGTATCTAGCTGTGAAAACCCGGCGGCACCACACAGTGCCGCAGGACAGGCCTCCTCACGGGAGATCTGCCCGCCGCCTGGCGGTGCCGCCGGGAAGCAGCAGTACCCGATGGCGTCCACAGATGGCAGCGCGATCACCGAGCCTCGCCGCCGCCGCTACACACAATGGCACTGGCCAGCCAGCCTCTGACGTCATCCCGTACACAGTGACGTCACCACACAGGTCGATGACGTCACCGACTAAAGATGCGCCACAATTTCTACCTCTCCGTCGGAGGTGGGAGCGGTCTGCGCCGATCGCCCTACCGCACCGCTGACCGTAACCACAACACTGTTAGAGCGGGTCACGTGACACTGGTCCCCAGTCACCTGGCCGACCGTGTCGTCCAGCGGCGGAGTCGTGTCCTCGGTCACGTGACCACCGTCCGTCTGCACAATCGTCACCAGATTATCGTCCCGTTTGACCTCCTCCTCTAGCCGTCCCTCTTTACTCTCTCGCTCTCTCTTCTCACGTCTTCGCTTGCGTTTCCCATCTTCCAAGCTCCCAGTTTGTAGAACGGAGATCACATTCACACCATCCGTACTAGCAATGCCATCTAGCGGCGCGCCGAACACTAGAGATTCGTGCGACAGAAACGAGAGGACGCTGGGGTTGCGGCTGTGGCAGACTCCGGCCGGTTCTTGTTGCGGCTGGGGGTTGGCAGATGACTGGCGGGAGTGGTAACTCGGTGGGTGGCTGTACTCTGAGTGGCCCGACAGAGTGTTCATACCGGGCCTGCGGGCGGGAGGGGGCAGTGTCAGAGCGAGGGCATTATTAGGTCACGGGTCGCAATGGGTCACGTATGTATGTCAGTCGCTAACGCCAAGGTTTTACCTTCGCTTGCCACCGTCCCGTGCTTCTATCCTCAGGATAGTCAAATCCTTATCCTCCACGCCGCAGCCCCCTCCGGGCTGGACAGGCAACTTTATCTCATGCGGGCTGCTCCCTTGGAGCGGCACCGCTGCTCCCGCTGCACCGCTGCTCCCTGCTCCCTTTTCTTTTCTTTTTAAACCTTTCATTTTCGCAACAGCAGCTCCAACCAACAGCAGCTCGATACAGCATAACACAACTCCCCAAGGTAAATCCTGACCAGTAGCCCAGCCTGTATTCACCTCAGAGTGCCCGTGCCGGGTCGGTAGGAGGGCGGTGGTGACAGCACGGCCCCGTTGCCGGCGGCAGACGCGGCGTTATGTCGATCCAACAGAAGACCCAGACGGTACGCCTGCATCGAGGCATGGTAGCTGGGCGGCGGCGGCCGGAACTGGAACTCGGGGTACACCATCGCTGCAACAGGTGGCGCTGTCAGTCACTATGCGGGGAGAGCAGACTGCAGTTATGGGTGATTGATGACTGATGTCGAAGGATCGGAGAGCTCTAGCTATATGCTTGGGCTGATGACATTTGAAGCGAAGAGCATAATACGCCAAGTAAAGCACTAAATCAAGCTATCAAGCTTAATGTTCTGCACACTGAGACCGAGAAATCTAGTTGAACTTGGAAAGCATAGGACGTGTTGGATGCCCGTTTGAAATATCACCCAAACACACTCTGCTGCCTAAAGAAGATCGCTTCAGTGTCTGAAACGCAGGCCCATTTTCCAATCAATCCGTCTAACTTGTTATGCCTGGGCCATATGGGCGGCAAAGCCCTTGTGTGTCACGAATTACCACCAAAATTGTTAATCATCATCTCCACACCGCCTCTCTCCCCTTGGCTCTCGCTCTCTACCGACCTGCATACGGATGGTGCGGTCTTCCGTAGGCGGGCACCACCCTGTGCATGAATCGGCGTGACTCGGGCTCCTCCTGCTGTCTGGAGAGGCCGAGCATCATCCGGCAGGAGGGCGAGTCGCGGGAGGTCAGCCGCCACGCGATCCCCGACACGGTGATCAGCACTATACCGACTCCTGAGGGCGGGAGAGGGGGGAGGGGGTCAGTGGGTGGTTTAGAGGGACGACGGGGTCTGGCCTACGTACAATTATGACGGGATGAGGTCTCATTCTTAGAGATCGCGACATTTTGTTTTTAATACCGTTGTGGGGGAGTGACAGCTCCCTCAGCTCTCTTTGGGACATGCGGTGGAGACGTGAAAAATGTGGAAATGCCCAATACCCACCCCTCATTGGGAGCCGCATCAAATCAACCAAAGCAATGAGCAGGACATAGGCATATGATCAGAAATAAATGTTGATACAATGGATCTACGAAACACGACGAGCTCAACCAACGCGTCGGGAGAATCAGAAATCAGAGCTGCGATTCGGGTAAACAGCGCGACCAGGGAATTCCTCCGCCCCTCACCGGTGCCCGCAGCACCCCACAACCCGTTAACACATGCTAATCAATGCAGACACGCACACACACATAGCGTGCCGGCGTGTAGCCTGGGGAAAGCACAGCGCGTCCGGGCACGCCCTGAGGAAAGGAGCCGGCAGAGAGGGCTGGAATTCCACGCACGTCCTATGCCGGCTGAGATAACCGCATTTATTACCAGACTGTGCTGTGTGTGTCAGGGCGCATTCTTTCGTGAGATGTGTGGAGTACTGCTGACAACTAGGGCTGATAATCCCGGGACTTTTTGGCAATCCCGGGATCCCGGGATTTTAGAAATGCAATCCCGGGATATCCCGGGATCCCGGGATTGAGCAGTTTTTATTTTAACCTGTCTACAAAGCAGAATTTTCTTGCAATATCGTATGTATATGGCGCATCCTTACCATCATAAACACAATACCAGGCATACACCTTCACCCCGAACAAATATAAGAGCATGAATGACATTGATCATTGTATTTCTTGTTTATATTTCGAGTCAGGATACAGTAGACGTGCCTACGGATTGTGGTCGTCTGACCAGCAGCATGTCAGATGGCCACACGACACTTTGCTGTGTGGCCATCTTGACTTCTTAGATAATGTTCCCACACCGCACTGCCATTCAGCAAAATCCGACATTTTGGCAAAGTTAGCTATAGCTTATCACAAAGGCACGTAATTAATAATTATTCACTAACGGTAACCATGCCCAGGGCGCCCGGCCAGCCTCATGGATCGTCCAGCCACAGGGCACTGACAGTAACTGAGCCACCAGACGTGCTCCCACAGTCACACAGAGAAGACGGCCGACCTCCTCCCACTCGATGGACTCGAATTCGATAGTCGGCATAGTATGTCATCGTGCAAAATGATCTGTTAAACCGAGTACGCGAGGGACGTCGCGGGGAGCGAGAGATGAGCCGAGAGAGAGCTCGTCTCTCGCCACATTGTGAAGGCTGAGACGGTGTGAAACAATGTCAATTAGGTATATATGTAACCAATACTTGTGCATAACGACTTTGCACGGCGTAAGTAAGATCTTTGGACATAAAACTGCACTGTAATGCGTTGTTACTCACTTACCTTTTTTTACATACCTACTATCAGCTACACTTTATGAACGATGTTTCTGTACGGAAAATATCGGGATCCCGAAATCCCGATGCTTCTAATCCCGGGATTCGGGATTAATACAATCCCGGGATCCCGGGATCCCGATCCCGGGATTATCAGCCCTACTGACAACCCTGGTTTATTCAGCGAGCTTATGAATAAAAAGGGCGCATTACCAACCAACACACATTGTCACATAAAAACCCCACACGATGCACCAACTCAAGGAGGAAGTTCCACAGAATCAGGGAAGACTTCCCGCCGCATAACTTTCGAATGATTTGGCAAGCAAGTATGCTATGATTCTGGTAGTTTCAATGATCATGTTTTGATCGTCAGCTGAAAAACTGCCGTTAGAGCAGCATCTGTAAGAAATTAACGGCCTCGTCCATCGATCGGGCAGACTACAGTGATGCGCTCCAATGCGCTTAAGAACACAAACAAGATGAAATAAGGGGCCGGGGAGTGACGAATGGGCGGCGAACCAGCCTGCTCCCCAAATCCCAGTGAATAACTGCGTGTTTTTAGGGTGGAAGAAACGATCAGATGACTTGCTACCCAGATGTAGGTAAGTCTGCTCCCCAAATCCCAGTGAATGACTGCGTGTTTTCAGGGCGGAAGAAACGATCAGATGACTTGCTACCCAGATGTAGGTAATCGCCACGCCATGTGTGGATCGTCCATGATCGTAAATACAATACAATACAATACAATACAAGTGAGGTTCATAAGACTCCGACTCAATGGTATCCGAATCTCAGTTAACCAACCCATTCGCCAAGACAACCGTAAATGTCAGGAGTATGCATGCTCAAGACGTATGAATAGGAAAAGAGGATCCTGACATTTTTTATATGAGCATGGGCTTACTGGAGGAGAAGGAGCTGACCTTGAAAAAACTGAGCTTTTTTAGCTGGAGGAGAAGGATTTGACCGTCTTGGAGGTGGAAATGACGGGACGGTGCCAAGAGATTCCGAATTCCTCGGCTTCTGTGGCAGACTGCACAAACACCCGGCGTGCCACTTTTGAAAAATATGTATTGTTTCGCCCGCGCGGCGAACCTGATGACTATACAAGGCAGCCAGCAGGCGCTGGTGATATGAAAGGCATGATACGTGTTCGGGCATCGACGGGTCACTCACACGACACTCACAAATGCTGCACAAATCGCCCAGTTACACAGAGCCGGCGACCGTGGCGCCGCCCGGCGGCCAGACGGCGAACTAGCCGCCCGGGAGCACACACATACCCGTGTCCATTCGCCACGTATGATAATGCACTCAGCACGGCATACACAAAACACTGACAGCCCTGCTACATACAGAGCTCATACGTTCTGGCGGTGATACGGTACATGAACCTCATTCGGCTAAAGAACCCTGACGCAAAAATACACTATCAGCGCTCTGCATTGTGGTTTTACAACTGTCCCATGGCGACGTTTTCCCTTTAGATAGTGAAGGGATTCCCCTACAGTAGGAATTTCCCCTTCATAGCAAATCCCCGATGCGATAATCCCGATAAATACAGCATAAACAGAGTACCAATACAGGGTTCGGCGGTGGGTCCAGCAGCGGCACCCAGCGGCGGTTGTCATGACAACAGTCACCGGCTCGGCTCGGCGTATGCGCACCAGCTTGCTCTCACCACAGCCTGGAAGCGGGTATCTAGCTGTGAAAACCCGGCGGCACCACACAGTGCCGCAGGACAGGCCTCCTCACGGGAGATCTGCCCGCCGCCTGGCGGTGCCGCCGGGAAGCAGCAGTACCCGATGGCGTCCACAGATGGCAGCGCGATCACCGAGCCTCGCCGCCGCCGCTACACACAATGGCACTGGCCAGCCAGCCTCTGACGTCATCCCGTACACACAGTGACGTCACCACACAGGTCGATGACGTCACCGACTAAAGATGCGCCACAATTTCCACCTCTCCGTCGGAGGTGGGAGCGGTCTGCGCCGACCGCTCTACCGCACCGCTAACCGTAACTACAACACTGTTGGAGCGGGTCACGTGACACTGGTCCCCAGTCACCTGGCCGACCGTATCGTCCAGCGGCGGAGCCGTGTCCTCGGTCACGTGACCACCGTCCGTCTGCACAATCGTCACCAGATTATCGTCCCGTTTGACCTCCTCCTCTAGCCGTCCCTCTTTACTCTCTCGCTCTCTCTTCTCACGTCTTCGCTTGCGTTTTCCATCCTCCAAGCTCCCAGTTTGTAGAACAGAGATCACATTAACACCATCTGTACTAGCAATGCCATCTAGCGGCGCGCCGAACACTAGAGATTCGTGCGACAGAAACGAGAGGACGCTGGGGTTGCGGCTGTGGCAGACTCCGGCCGGCTCCTGCTGCGGCTGGGGGTTGGCAGATGACTGGCGGGAGTGGTAACTCGGTGGGTGGCTGTACTCTGAGTGGCCCGACAGAGTGTTCATACCGGGCCTGCGGGCGGGAGGGGGCAGTGTCAGAGCGAGGGCATTATTAGGTCACGGGTCGCAATGGGTCACGTAGGTATATCAACGCCAAAGTTTTACCTTCGCTTGTTCACCCGTTCCGTGCTTCTATCCTCAGGATACTGAAATCCTTCTCCTCCACGCCTCTTTCCCATGCTCCGGGCTGGACGGGCAACTTTATCCCATGCGGGATTGCCCGTAAGAGCATGCCCGTAGCCGGGTGCAGAGAGTGCTTGGGGACTGGTCGGCCTGTCCATTTGGACGGGCTCAGCCCCGACGACTCACAGGCCACAGGGGTGCCCGCCCAGACCAATGCCTCCCCTTTATTCCTATAATCATTCCGGCTCTGAAATGGTCTCGTCAGACCGAAAGACCTAACCCACCAAAACAAGCAAAACAGGTGAAACAGTGTGATAAGCATGACACATGCCTCATAATTTTCCTCTTTTTTAATTTTTCCTTTTCTTTTTTAACCTTTCACTTTCGCAGCAGCGGCTCCGACCAACAGCAACTCGACACAGCATAGCACAACTCCCCAAGGTAAATCCTGACCAGAAGCCCCTCTCCGTCCCTGTGTTCTCACCTCAGAGTGCCGGTGCCGGGTCGGTAGGAGGGCGGTGGTGACAGCACGGCCCCGTTTCCGGCGGCAGAGGCGGCGTTATGTCGATCCAACAGCAGACCCAGACGGTACGCCTGCATCGAGGCGTGGTAGCTGGGCGGCGGCGGCCGGAACTGGAACTCGGGGTACACCATCGCTGCAACAGGTGGCGCTGTCAGTCACTATGCGGGGAGAGCAGAGACTGCAGTTGTGAGTGATTGATGACTGATGTCGAAGGATCGGAGAGCTATATGCTTGGACTGATGACATTTGAAGCGAAGAGCCAAGTAAAGCATTAAATCAAACCTAATGTTTCGAACAGTGAGACCGACAAACCCAGCTGGACATTGAAGGGAGAGTGCATGTGTGCTCATTTGAAAAGCTAACTTATAACAGCTACCTAAAGCACTGCAAAGGTCATTCTCTCATA